TCACATTTGGACTCCCCAGATCTGGAGTCAGCCGGTAACCACAAAGGAAGAACTGCTAGCTCTCCAACAGCCAGACTGCCGTAACAGTAACAGGGATGTATTTTAAAACCCCTTGTGGAGAAGTACTGGTTGCCTCTGAATAGACTCTAGCAAAAATAATCTGTTTTCTAACTGTTATGGACTGAATTGTGTCCCCCCTCCCCAAATTCATAGGCTGAAGCACTTAGTCTCAGTGTGACTGTATTTGGTGATAGGGTCCTTAAGGAGGTAATTTAAGTTTGATGGAGAGTGGGGTCCTCATCCAATAAGACTGATGTCCTTAGAAGACGAAGGAGAGATACCAGGAGAGATGAAGCACAGAGGGAAGTCCGCCCGAGGATGCAGTGCAGAGGCAGCTGTCGGCGAGCCAAGGAGAAGCCTCGGGAGAAACCACAGTTGCCGACACTTTGATCTTGGACCTTCCAGTGTCTGGACCTGGGAGAAAACATAAATGTCTGTTGTTTAAGCGTGCCCCCGCCCCCCTCAGTCTGTGACATTTTGTTATAGCAGCCCCGGTACACTAATACGATATCTAAGACTCGCACATACTTATTTTCCTTGTCCTTTTCAGTATTTTTTTTTATTAGTCATCCTTAATCCATTGGCTGGCCTAGGTTCTTTGTCAACTTCCAAGGAAAGCCAGATCTAATAGCAAATGCCATGTTTTAATTAATGTCCCTTCTTCAGTAATATTCTGATGAATACGGGCTTTATTATTTATTTTTCCTGGGGTGTTGCTTGTGTCCGGCAAAGGTTCACGTTTAACCTAATACTATAGTTCACTCATGGATTTGTATATAAATCTGAATATTGCTTTTAATCACTGGGGTCAGTTATTTGCAGACATGACCCTGAACGGCCTGTCGCATCCTTTCTGTGTGGGCCACTCTTACTCTCAAGGGCTGGGATCTGCTTCCCCTCCCCTTGAGTCTGGCCTGGCCTCAGGCTTTGCTTTGGCCCCATAGAATGCAGAGGAGGTGATGCTGGTGAATCCCAGAGCCATCCCAGCCCCAGCCCTGGAAAGGTGCTGCAGTGTGCAGTGCGCCCGCCTATCCTGCTGGAGAGCCGCCTTGATAGGGAAGAGGCGCAGGTGGGGAGCTGCAGGCCTGGAGATGCTGCGTGCCTGCTGAGTTCCAGGAGGGAGAGGGAAGCGGCTAGGGAATTGGGGGGGGGGCGGGTGCTAGAGACAAAGTGCACCTGCTTGGCCTGGTGGTGAAGGAACCAGGGAATGAAGCCCAGGGTTTTTAAATTTTTTAAATTTTTAAATTTTTTATTTTTTTATAATGGTGGTTTTAATTGGCCTTGGGGCCCTGTTGACGTGCTGTGGATATTGCGAAGTCGGAGCTGGCTGGGCTGGCTGATGTAGGGCCTGTGGACTACATCCACAATTGCCTCCGAGAGGGGCTGGCCCTTGGGTCTGTGGTATGGGGCGCTTTCACCAAGCACTGACTGGGGAATTGGCTCCGGAACACATACTGCTTTGCCAAAGCTCCGAAGTGATGGCTAACCTCAAACACTGTTGTCGTTGGAATGTGCGCCTCCAGAGTTCCTATGGTGAAGTCCTAACCCCCTCGTACCTCAGAATATGACCTTCATTGGAAATAGGGTCATTGCAGATGTAATTAGCTTCAATGAGGTCGTGCTGGCATAGGCTGGGCCTCTAATCCAACGTGACTGGTGTCCTTACAAAGAGGGGAAATTTGGGCGCGGGCAATGTGTAGGCGAAGAGCTAACACAATGTGAAGAGGAAGAAATAGATCAGAGTGAGGCAGAAGCCAAGGAATGATGGAGATGGCCGCCAACCCCCAGGAGCTCGCGGACAGGTATGGGACCAATTGTGCCCTGTGGCCCTCAGGGAGAACCAGTGCTGTCTGACACCATGTTGTCCAGAACTGGGAGACAGTACGTTCCTGTTGCTGAAGCCACACAGTCTGTGGTGCTTTTTTATAGCAGCCCCAGCAAACCAGTGCAAAGGCCGGTGCCCCGTTACCCACTTTTTCTCATCTCTGCAGTTCTGGGCCCACGCAGGCCTACATGCATGCCCGTGATGGAGCTGCCAAATGGCCTCACACCTTAATCCGGTTAAAATTAAAATTCTCATTTCCTCAAAAAGTTCTGTCACAGGAGATTTACTGGATATTTCAAGCACAAGGGAAAGGAGATAATTTTTGAGAGGAGGACCTCTTTAATGAAATCGTAACACATAGATCGTTTGATCTACCTTCTTTGAGACCCTTCCACCCGAGACTACATCCTCAGTTATTCCAGAGTTTACAGACAGTTCAGACCTAGTTGTTTTTCTCCAGAAACCTGACTTAACCTAACTGTATTCGGATTGACCCTTGATTCTTCCGACATAATCATTTGCATGATTTTTCGTGCCGTGATTGTTGAAAGCCGATGGTAGAAACTTGGAAGTGGCCTACGAGATGCAGAAATGTTTCGTGCCTCATAATAACAATAGTATTGGGTGCATTATGCAGTAATAATGGAAATTGCATCTGCAAAATAGTGGTGGTGATGGAACATTCTGAAACACCAAAAATAAATAAATAAATAAATAAATAAATAAATAAATAAATAAATAAATAAATAGGAAAAAGCATACAGGGAAGAAAACCGTGTTTTATTCACAGCATTTGGCTGGTTGTGCTTTCAGGCTGGAAGTCAGGGAAGAGTTTATGAGCTCCTTGGTACTGTGCTATCCTGGGCTGCATGATTTAGATCGACCTACTCAATTCTGATTGAAGTGGAGAATTTGCAGTCACTGGGATCAAAAGGGGTTAGCAGCGTTGTCGTATTTGAAAATACTTTCTGCTCTTTAGATACGAGAGCATTTTGTAAGTGAAAATTGGATTTTCACAGTAAGCATGTATTTGCTATGATTTATCCTGATTTGTTTTTTTTTTCCCCCTGTGGCTCATAACTTCTGATTGATAGCTTATGTCAAAAGTATGTTTGGAAAAAATATGAAACACATATTCCTTTATCTTTACCAATGTAGTTTAAAGGCCAGTTTCAGGCTGATTAACTTTGCCCTGGCCCTTTTAATAGTTTGATAGTTTGATGTATTAATCTCATTCAACATACGGGAACTTACAGAAAACCACAGTGAGAAATAAATCTGTAAGGCTTTTAAAACATTTGTAACTGTGATTTTTGAGTTTTGGATGTTTTCTGTACTAATTAGAAAATTTTGTGATGTTTTAATTACATATTTCTGTTGAGCAGTTTAATTACCCTAATTCAAGACTATTCTGCTTAAAATTCCAATGATTAAACAAAGTCAAGAAAGTGACAGGGCAGCAGAGATGAAAAAAGTGAGTTAATTCTGTTGTGTCCAATTCACAAGAATTATCTTAGCCTTGTACATGTTCCCGTGGGATCTGCCTTTGCTTGGTTCCTTTCAGAAAGGAGTCTTTTTGTTTTTGTTTTTCATATTACTTTTTTCTCTTTGAGTTTGGAAGGCTTTTTTTTTTTTTTTGGACAGGCTGGTTTACAGACATTTGGACTATTCTGAGGCCTTCTGGTATTCTTAGGATATAACCATCACTCATTCCCTGGTGGACCGTGAGGTACTGTCCAAAGCAAGGCAGAAAAAAAGAAAGCATCTCCCTCGGGATGTCAGGATACTGGGAAGGATCATTTTCCTGGAGCAATTATGTCTAAATCCTATGCATCTTCTCCTCTACCCAACTCTGAAATCACACAAGCAATGTTGGCAGCCCAAAGCCATTCTTACCAAGTCCTTGTCTGCAGATCAGGCTGTTTCCCTGCGATGATGCATGTAGGAAGTAACGCTTTAAACTATAAAGTGCTCTGTAGATGTAAACTGGGATATTGATAGCCATACTTCTGCTCCCTGACCCTTATTCGCGCTCCGATAGCACCTTATTTTCCAAACCAAAAGCCTTTTAGGGAATCAGAGGGGCCATTTTTCCTCTTGTGGTTTATGCGGAGTCATCATGGTGCAGTGGTTAAAACCAGGGCCCACGTAGACAGACTCAGTTTGCGTGTCACCCCTGCCTCTCCAGCTCTGTGACCGGGGATGGCTTACTCTCTGAATCTGACTTCCCAAACTTCAAACAGGGATAGTGACAGAATCACCCTTGCAGAATCATTGAGAGGAATAAACAGATATTGCAAGCGAAGCACTTCGCATCGTGCCAGGCGCATCTAAGCAAGGGCCCAGTAAGTAATTAGCTTTCATCGCTTCCTGAAGGCTTTGGGGTTCTGTGATTCTAATAGCAAAGCCAGCAAAAATGAGCTGATTCTCATAACTTAATTAATTGCAAGACCTCTCCTATCCTACTCTTCTCCCTATATTTCATCTCACCTGGAATGGGAACTTCCGTTCATTAAATGAACAGAGAATGGTGTTGCCTCCCCCCACCCCCAACTTTAAAATGCTGTGCTGGTGCATACTTTTAAAATAATTCACAGGATAATGATAGTTTTTCTTCTTTTTACAAGTCTCATATTCAGACACCTGAGACCTCTCCCTGGCATCCAGTCCTGAGAAGTTGGAAGGGGGTGAGGTTTTGAGGTGGTCCCAGCAGGCAGTGTGGCCCTCTGTCCCTCCCTGCGGCCACCATTCTGTCCTGACATGGCTGGGTTCCTGTGACCAGTGTCTAGGTTTCTGGGGAGAGGCTGTGGGCACGCAGCTCCGTGAAACACAGGTTCTAGCATCTCTGTCTCAGGCATCTCTACCCCCGGCCAGAAAGTAGGAGGTTCCATTACGATTTCCGACTGGCATTTCCTTATTTGTGTGTTAACATATGGTGTGGAGTGAGGTTAGAAACTCATGGCATTAGTGGCCATTGAAAAAGACCTCTAACCCTAAAATTTGAAACATGCTGCTTTCGTAGGAGGTAGTTACACAGTGATGTTCCTGATGTCAAGACGGTATTTTTAACAACATTTATTGAATCTGCTAATCTCATTTCATCATTTTGTTACAGATTGATGTTCTCAAAGCAGATCTGGAAAGCGCAGAATGGAAAGTCTTAGAAAATCTCATTCTGGAAGATGTCCTTGAACAAATTGGACAGCTCACCTTTGAGATTCATCTCCACTGGCCCGGGTTTGAGGTCAGTGGCGGTGACAGCAGTGTCGTGCGGTTCTGGTACAGCCTCCTCAAAGAATTAGAACTAAAGGGTTTCAGACTTTTTCATAGTTACAAAGATTTATCTAAACCCCAGCTCTTCCTGAAGAAAGACATTTTCAACGCAAGTAGCTGTTATACTCTGAGTTGGGTAAATACAAGATGGAACTAGGATGCAGGACGTCATCCAGACCTCAAGGAAACAATTGGAGAATAAGGCACGTCCGGCTTTCTAATTGTCGCTGCACTTGTCCAGTCTCCCGCTAGCCTGTTACCAGCTCGAGGTGGGGACCGTGTCATTGCCTTTGTAGTGCGAATAGCCTGGCACCTGCCCCGTGGGAGGGGCCTAGTGAGCACTTGTGGAAGGGATGGACGCAGGAGGGCCCCAGGAGCCAACCTCCATCTGCCCGAATCCCAGGCCTTCTGTTTGCCTCCGACACAGCGGGGATGCTCGTCCTCCTTTGTTTAACTTGGAAGATAACCCTCCCACTTACCTGTTTTCCCTAAAACTCAGTATGTATCTAAAATCCGTGAAAAATTTCACCAACGTGAAAAAGAAATTACATCCATTTTCCGTTTTTGCTGGGCTGATGAGAGTCTTAAGTTTGTAGCTTACTGTTTAAAATAGGACCTTCCCTTTGACTGTCACTCCCCTTGTCAAGGGTTTCCTTGTTCACCTGCTCAGTTCCATTCTTTACGACCCTGTGGATTTCAGACATTCCTCCTTAGCCTTTGCTGAGGCCACGCTGTGGCTTCGCAAGCGCCCCTGATTCTGGTTTCTGGGGACTTAGACACACCAAATTCTGTCACTGAGTTTAAAAGACTAGACTATCCAGGATGTCAATTCAGATTCTTTTCAGACTTACATCCCCTTCTGTTCCTAGGAAACTAAGCACAGGCAAAATGTGGGTGTCTTCACTGGTGCCTCTTCTGACTTCAGACCTGGTTTCTCAACCACCGCCTTGCCTATGCTGTCAAATCTCTCTCTCTCTCTCTCTTTTAATACATTATGTCAAAGATTAAGTGAATTTTCCTCTGCGGCCAGTTGGCATTTGTTCTAAGACCGCGGCCTGAGAGCCAAAGTCTGTCTCGTTCCTGGGATGCTTACACTGTGTTTCAGTAATGCCAATCCTGTCTGTGTTTTTAAAAATTAAACCGTAAATGTAGGTTCTCGGTAGTTCAAATGATCTCCATCATTTTTATTTACGGGATTAGACATTTACCCCCACGAATTATTTTCAAAAATTCTATTTCAAGTAAGTTAATTAAATAGCATAAAAGCAAACCAAATTATTACCTTATTATACATCAGGTATATTTTCTGGCATTTTTTACATCATGGGAGAACAGGAAAACTATATATACATTGTTTGTTCAAGAGATCTGGGGAGAGAGTACACCACTGATCACGACTGGACTTTATTCCTTCTTCCTTTTTTTACTTCCTTCCATCCCAGACATTCTGAGTCGGCTTTTTGTTTCTTGCAGTGGTTTGAAAATACCAATTCCTCAAGTGAGAAACCAAAATAATATTCGAGTTAGATGATCTTAACTAACTTCAGCTCAAAAGGGAACAAGACTTTCTGAATTCTTAAAAATATGAATGAGCTTTTTATTTTAAAACTCACAGGACGCTAATAAAAGTCATTGAGGTGGGAGGACCAGCTTGAACAAGTGTGATTTAAAGTAGCAGTTAAGTGGCTCCCCATGTGCATAGGTATCTCAAAAGCACAAAGGGTCCACGAAAAACTCTGACGGGGTTTAATGCTTAGTTTGCATGGTGTCACCTCCAAAACAAAGTTAACTTTAGCCCAGTTCCTGCTTGGATTATATCGGATTCTCTCCTTTATTTTTTTAATTAAAATTTTATACACTGAAGTATGTACAATAAACCTTTTTATACGGTTAAGTATGAAGTGTACTAATCTTATGTGTCCAGTCTGATCAGGTTTTAGATATGTACACGCCCATATTAAGGTCTTTAATTCATGGGATTGAAGATTTATGGAATCACTGAAAGCCCTTTGTGCAGGGCAAGTCACCATTTATTCCAGATTGGTGGTGCACAACATTGACTTCATCACACACTATATATATGTATATATCTGAAGCTAGAATGGCTGTACTGTTAAGAAAAAAAAAAAGACAAACTCAAAATAAATCACAAACACACCCACCCACACCCACCTACAAGGCAGCTTGTTCAATAGTTTTTTTTTTTTTTTTGTGCTTATTTTATGCTTATTTCTAAGACTGTCCTTTATTCCCTTCATGGATAGTTTGAAATTTATGATGAATATTCTGACTGTTGCTATGGTTCCCCTGCCTCTAAAATTTATTATGCTTATTGTGTAGGCTGGGGTTTCTTAACCTCAGCGCAGATTGCCGTTTTGGGCTGGATGATTCCTTGTGGGGGTAGGGAGAGCTGTTCTGGGCATGCTAGAGTGTTCAGCAGCATCCCTGGCCCTCCCCACTGAGATGCCGGGAGCACCTCTCCCTGTCCCCCCTCAGTCGTTAACACCCAGAGACATCCACAGACAGTGTCGCTTGTGCCCTCGGGGGCAAAGCCATCCACCCTGGAGAACTAGCTGGAGGAGGCCATAAGGAAGGGTCTGGGGTGCCACGGCCCTGCTGTTTGGGAAGATCCTGCCTGTGAAGGTAAAAAAAGAACCACCACGTGCACACTCGGGAGCTGCTGTTGAGAACATCCTGTGTGTGCCCAGCCCTGTGCAAGGCTTGTTCCTAGTTCTCCCGGCAGCCTGGTGTGGAAGTGCAATTTTCCTGATTATACACGTGAGGAAACCCTGAGAGGTTAAAGAATTTATTAAGATTATGCCACAAGTAGATGGTAGAGTAGGAACCCGCATCTCTGTGGTTCAGATCCAAAGCTGGGCCCCTACCCTCTGCAGTGACGCCCCAATAGCCTCTAACAGATGTAAGGTGGCACTCCCAAAAGACGTATTTTTGCTTCTTTATTAGTAAATGGTGGGTGGGGAGGGAGGGACCATTTGATGTAGTAACATCAGACCTGCAAATCTGTTAGAGTTGGGACATTTTTGTGGCCGGCATGTTTAATTTTTAAACCATCTACTTAATTAAAATATGCCTGCCAAGTGGAGGCTTACTGAAAGAATACGGGGACCCAGCAACTTCTCTGTCAATATTTCAGGTTGCCAGAAAAGCACTTGTAAGACCTGGAAGCAGCTCTTGACCCTGGCTCATCCCACTGTGTGACACTTTCCGCTTGGGTTTTAGAAAGGACAGTCACTTGGAAATGCAGTGTGTTTCCTTTGTTTCCAAAGTGGTCTTTGGCTTACAGATGCATGAGCTTCATCTTACTAGAGCAATGCTCGTAAATGAATCTGAAAATACAAATTTAATAATGTTCTTCAAATGGATTTTAAAAAACCTTGCGTAGGTGAAAGACATGTGAGTAAGAGATTTAGAAATCACCTTTTAGCCATTTAGACGGTTAAGCGTCTACCTTTGGCTCAGGTTGTGATCCTGGGGTCCTGGGATCGAGTCCTGCATCAGGCTCCCCTCAGGGAACCTGCTTCTCCCTCTACCTGTGTCTCTGCCTCTCTCTGTGTCTCTCATGAATAAATAAATAAAATCTTTTAAAAATCACCTTTTTAGCACAAACTGTGTCACAATTTGAAACTAAAGTCAAAGAAAAAAATTTTCCCTTTCCCCTTTTCTTAGAGTGATTATATTTGATGCAGCTATAACAGGTTATCATAAATGTCTGTAACTATTTGGTATGTTAAAATGAAGAAAGCCAGGAAGAAGTAAACACATCTATTAGAATTCACTGCAGGTCCACTCATCTTTATAGGGTAGAACAAAGGCAAACTCATGAGTTTACAGTGTTTAGTCCAAATTAATTATTCATATAAGCCATTTCTACCTTGACTATACGATTTTAGGTATAATAAATACAGCACAAGAGTTGAATTTCCTAAGGATCACACGTTTGGGTTTTGCAAAGCTTGGATTAATATCAGGGAGTCAGCCCCATCATCGTATTTTGTCACATTAAAAATGAAGCCCTCATTTAAACAGATGATGATTCTTGACAATGCCACAATACCTCCAGGCTCAATTAATGTGATTGTTCTCTTCTGCTGGAGAGAAGTTTATGTTTGCCTTTTAAGCAATAACATAATTCTTTTGTATTAGTCAATTGCTGGTTCTTTGTGGATTCAGAAACACACTTAACCTTATGTAAAACATGTCTTTTTCTTATTGAAAGAGGTATTTGAACTTTACTTGTCACATGAAATCATAACCCCAAGATTCAATGTATTCTTCAACTGCCTAAATTTAGAAATTATTGAAATTCTTTAAGTAATTGTATTTCTGTCCTTGAGGAAAATAAATCAAGCTTAATGTCACACTTTATGTTTAGCACTATATGGAAACATGCTAGTGGGGCATCCAGGTGGCGCAGTCAGTTTAGCACCTGATTCTTGGTTTCAGCTAGGGTTGTGATCTCAGGGTTGTGGGTTCCAGCCCCACGACAGGCTCCCCACTCAGTCCGGAGTCTGCTTGGGATTCACTCCCTCTCCTTCTGCCCCTCCCTGCTGTGTGTGTGTGGACATGCTCTCTCTCTCTAAAATAATCTTTGAAAAAAAATGACTAATGCTTCTTAAAAAGAGCAACATTCCTGTGGGCACAGTTATGAGAAAGTGATGGGGCCCAACTCTAATGGAAGAGGCCAAGAGAATGTTTTTAGCTGGGTTCCGTTTTACTAGAGGATGAAACAGTCTTGGTAGCTAAGTGTTTCTTTGGAACTACCTAACTCAGAACAAGCTGGAAGCCACAAGGATTATGCCATAAATCTTACCCTTTAAAAAATACATAAGCAAGTTGCATTATGGGGAGGAGGCAGGGAGAAAGATTTGATACTGCTGTTAACTAGCTGTGTGGTATTGAGCAAATCATCACTTTTATTGGCCTACTGGCTGATCTTGGGTTGGAATATTTGATTTCTAAGGTTTCTTCTAGCTTGAAGATCTCATTATTCTAAGATTTGTGTGATTAGAGAAGGCTCAGACAGTGGTAGGATAATTTCTTGATTTGGGTGCTATACAGGGAAGCCTTTGGATAAATCAGAAGAATCCAAATGATGTGCTTATTCAAAAGAAAAGACCCTGATAAAAGAGAAATCTGTTATGATGGCTCTCCAATCAAGTGAAGTGCCCGTAGGCAAAGTACCTTTTTTGGATAACACACTTACATAGTTCTAAAAAACAGAATGTTTCAGGCTGTACTGAGTTATACATCTGTTTTCAGAAAGTCCTAACAAAGTTACAATATCTGAAGATACTAGATTAAGTACGTAGCTCTATGATGATCCTTCTGTACGTACATGTGCAAATATATGTGTGTACATAACACACACATATGTTCATATACATTCATATGTACGGCTGAATGCCCAAGAAAGAAAAATCTTCAGGCACACAAAGCTCAGCGGGAGCCTAGAAGGTACAGCAGGAACCTTCTCTGCAGTAGTCCTATGAATTCAGTGTTCAGGGTGGTAGAGGCCTAAAGTACCAGAGAGAAGGTTGTTTTGAAG